CGGCTCCGGGCCTGCCCTTTCTCTGTGCCGGCCCCCGGGGCCGGGGCCGGAGGGGGTCCCGTGGCGAGAGCCCGGCGGGGGCGCCCGGCCCCTGGGTTTCTTGCCCAGCCCCGGGGTCAGCGTTGCCCCACTCCCCCCGGCCCCCCAGCACCGCGTTCGGCCCCAGCTCCCCCCCCAGGGCCTTCCTTCGGGCCCTGGCCCCGCGGTGTGTCCTTCAGCCCCACAGTCGGTATTTCTTCCCAGCCCCGTGGTTTGGTCTCAGCTCCAGCCCTGCAGCACTTCAGCTCCTGCCCCGCCGCCGGGGTCTCGGCCCCAGGCTCTCTCTTTCCTCTTATGTCAGCCCCACAGGTTTGATTTCGGCTCCAGCTCTGCAGCTGGATCTACCCTGACAGTCGGTATTTTGGCTCCAGCCCTACGCGCTGTGCTTTGCCTCCGACTCTCCAGTCCATCTTTCTGCCCCAGATCCACCGTTTTTATTTCAGCTCCGGCTCTCAGTCATTTATTCTCCAGCCCTAGGGTCAGTATTCCCGTTCCATCCAGCTCTACAGTCAGTATTCCAGTCCTACAGTCTTTATTTCAGCTCTAACCCCAGCCCTGCAGCCTTTCAGCTCCAGCTCTACATTGCACTCCAGCCCCACGGTCGGTATTTTAGCCCCCACCTCAGGACCTTTATTTCAGCTCCAGCCCCACAGGCAGTATTTCTGCCCAGCCCTATGGTTTTTATTTCAGCTCCAGCTCTGCATCATGTCACCTCCAGCCCCACAGTCTGTGTTTCAGCCCCAGCCCTGCTGTGTTTGTTTCTTCTCCAGCCATACAATCTTTATTCCAGCCCTGGGGTCTTTATTTCAGCTCCAGCCCTGTGTCATCCCAGCTCCGGCTCCAGGGTTTTTATTCCAGCCCCAGCCCTACAGTTGTTATTCCAGCTCCATCTCTGCGACTTCTCCACTCCAGCTCCAGCCCCGCACTCTCAATTGCAGCCACAGCTCCAGGGCCTTTGTGTCAGCTCCAGCCCCATACAGTGTATTTCAGAGACAGCCCTACAGGTTTTTATTTATGCTCCTGCCCCGCGGTCTCTGTTTCAGCCCCAGGGTCTCTATTCCAGCTGCGGCGACACAGTTGGTATTTCGGCTCCAGCTCTCTGGTGTCCCAGCTCCAGCCCCACACTCCGTGTTCCTGCCCCAGCCCCACAATCTTTACTCCGGCTCCGTTGGCACAGTCGGTCTTTCCGCTCCAGCTCCGTGTTGTGTCAGCTCCAGCCCCACGCTGTGTATGTCAGAGCCAGCCCTACAGTCTTTATTTCAGTCCCAGTCCTGCTATGTGTATTTCCCCCCCAGCCCCCCGTACAGGTTTTATGTCAGTCCCAGCTCTACAACCTTTATTCCGGCTCCAGCTCCGCATCCTTCCAGCTCCAAGCTGCTCCTCTTCTCACGGCAGCGCTGGGGCTGTTGACAAGGTTGTAATTCAATCACTGTCATCACTCAACTATCAGGAGGAGCTGTCATAACTGGCCCAAAATCGCCTCGACTGGTGTGTCCTGAATCAAGCGTTGGCCCCCCCAGCCCCATTTCACCCAGAGATTATCATCTCATTCAGTTTGGCCCGGTGCATGCCAGCGTCCGGCACTTTGGGGGCAAATGTGACAGGACCCCCA